GACCGGCGCCAGTGTCGCCAGCAGCGCCGAGATGAGCCACATGAGCAGACTGTTGATGGTGGCGTACGCGATCGTGTGGTCTTGCGTCCAGACGAGCGAGATGTCGTTGACGATACCGACAAGCCACGTGACTTCATTGGCTGCGAGACACGTTGTTCAGAGCGGGACGGGTGTCGTGACAAAGTAGCTGACGACGCCGTCAGTTTGGAGCTCAATGGAGGCTGTCGAGAGAAGACAGAGAGCCGTGATACTCCGGAGCGCGACCAATGGTCGACCGACCCAGACGATGCCGCCGACGCGACTCATTTCAAACATGTTGAGACCCTCGACGTGGCCTCGCGATAGTAAAATGTACACAAACGTCACGGCTGCGAGCATGATCATGACGTAGGTGACGTATCGGATGGCTTGGAGTGCGTAGAGAGCAAAGACAGTTGGCAGCTGCGCATTGTCGACGGGTTGTGACAGCTGAGGCAAGGTGTCGCCCATAAAGGCTAAAGTACTGAAGTCACCTTGAAATGAAATGACTTCTCGGGAACCGAGTGCCCAGTCGTAGAGGAAGAGCCACGCAAAGTAGTCAAAACTCGGGTCCGATGGGTCGAGCACTGGGAGATGGAAGAGGTCAATCGGTGCCGTCTCATTGGTCATGCCAAACTGAAGCCATTCAATCTGCAGGTTGTCAATCGATGCGTAGAGGGATGGACGCCAGTGGGGCAGTGTCGGAAGGTATGGACGAAAGGCCAGCGCTGCGCGGATTTGGGCATCACATATGTGATGCCTGCCGCGGCTTTCGCAAAGACAAATCGACGTGATGTTGGTCGTCGTATCGATATCGGCAAGTAGCACGGCAAAGAGAATGTGGTTGCGCGACGGTACAAAGCTTAAGACTGAATACGACGAAGCGCAGGCTCTTTGATAGGCGTCAACAACGAGGATGGAAGTAACCTTTGTGAGGTACAAGCTTCGCTGGTCGGGACACAAGAGAGAGCCACTCGCCGCGTAGATGTGCTCCTTCCACGTCATCGGTG